CTCCTTCCCCCTAGTCCCTTTCCTTCCTATTTCACTTTATGTATTATACCTTTTAGTCCTTAATTACACTTTTAGTTTCTGTAGAGAAACTATTTGGTATTTACATATGTGTGTCCTATTTATTTCACTTAAGATTATTGCCTCAATGTGCATCCATTTAATTATAATTGTCTCAAATTTCTCATTTTTTATGGCTGAGTACTACTCCATCTTATACAAAAAAAACTTCTTTATTCATTCTCCAGTTGGGCTCCTATTGGGCTGTTTTAGCTATTACAAAATGTGCTGCTATGAACATGGGTGCACATATATCACTCTGGTATGATTCTTTTGATTCTTTGGGGAAGATATCCAGAAGAGTAATAGCTGGGTGAAATGGGACTTCCAATCCTATGCAATCCCAACTGAAATCCCAGAAACATACTTCACAGACTTTGAGAAAACAATCCAAAAATTCATTTGGAACAGGAAGAGAGCAAGAATAGCAAAAGAAATTGTAGGCAATAAAAACAAGGCAAACAACTTGAAACTATATTACAAAGCTACTGTGATAAAAACAGCATGGTACTGGCAAAGAAACAGACCTGAGGACCAGTGGAACAGATAAGAAGATGCATAAACAAGCCCAGACACACTCAGTCACCTCATCTTCAACAAAGGAGCCAAATACCCTCACTGGAGGAAAAATAGCCTCTTCAATAAATGGTGCTGGGAAAACTGGATTTCAACTCACCAAAGATGAAAACTAAACCTATATCTCTCACCATGCATTAAGCTAAAATAAAAATGGATTAAAGATGTAAATATTAAAACAGAAACACTAAACCAGCTGGAAGAGAGGTTAGGTAGAACTCTTGAAGATATTACAATAGGAAAAGATTTTATGAACAGAACCTCAGTTGCATGTGAACTAGCACAATCGACAAGTGAGATATGTCTTATCAAAATCTTCTGCACAGCAAGAGAAACCACTAGCAGTGTGAAGTAACAATGCACAATATGGGAAAAACTTTTCACCATTCATATTTTATGTTTATTTTTTAGGTAATGTTTTAAATTTTTCCATGTATTGTTTTATATTTTACTCTAGAACTTTTGGAAATAACATTGATTCTCGGGCCAAAAGATATTTCATTCTTCTCTTAAATTTATTTGACTTTACAATATAGAATATGATTTTTCTTCAAACAGTTCTAGTTCTTTGGTGGAATTAACAAATTAAATATTCTTGTCCATATCTCAGTGATAATAACCCATCCACAGAGATTGGCAAAGAACAATGGGTTGGCATATGGGTTTTGGAACATACAGGTGAGCCAAGAATATCTGCTTACCTTCTTAGCTTAAAATATTACTCTGAAAATTAATTTGAATTTAAAAGATTATTCTGAAAATTACATTTGATTTTGTGTTACATTTCCTTTATGAGACTCCACAAAAAACCTTATCTTCATAAAATAGTTAAAAATCCATGGTTACATTTAACTCTATTATAATAAATTATAAACATGGATAATAGTAAGCTTTATGTAGTATATAAATGCATGTTTAGGAAATTTATTACAGTCATTATAGATTTATTTTAAAAGTATAATATTTTCATAAATTATAATATGCAATGTGTATTTTAATGGTTTTACACTTTCAAACATTATATCACGAATAAAATATGGAGTTACTTTTAATAAATTGATTTTTATGCTCAATAGAAAAATTGGCAACAAATATCCAAGCAGTTAACAACCACAATAAAAAGCACAACTGGCTAAAATATAAGGAGTGATATAAAGTATGTGAGATGAGGTGCTGAAGTAGGAGCATTCAGTGTTGCTGAGTGTTTAAGTTTTAACTATATTTAAAAAGGGATTTGGTAGTATCAACTCAATTTTTAAATCTTGGAAATTATTGTATACTTCAGTTATATTTCTTAGAATTAATCTCACAACAAAACTGCATTTTTCAATTTTATCCACAGAATTTCACTGTGAACTTGTTTATGATTAGAAGTAATTTTTAAAAATCTAAATTTCCACCAATATAAAATTTAAAAATCACATAATGTACAATGATAACTGAATATTACATCATACTTCTTTTATTTGAAGATAATAAATCTCTAATGCAATCATTAGAAGTATAAAGAAACATCATAAATAAATATTGAAAAGACATAACAAAGTGTACTAGCAACTCAGACAACTTTCAGAATGCCCATTTCAGGTAATCCTTTTTTGGAAAAAATTCATATCTGCATATCTACATAATTCATTTCCTCTTTATCTTTTGTCAAATTGTTCATATTATTTGAAAAAATTTTCAAAATTTCCCTATTTCTTTTCTTCTTTAAACAAGTATTATTGGGCACAAGAGGATGGACAGCCGAAGCACTGACCCCAAGTCCCAGAATGCTGGTTCTCACTGGGACACAGGTATCCTGAAGGCGATGTGCTGGAGCCAAGTCACTTGATCACAGAACCACTCCCTAATTCCTTCTTTGTTCTTCTTCCTGGTTTACATTTCTTTTTACCGGTTTACACTCCCTTTTATTTATAAACAGATGTTTTATCGAGATGTTCTGTCTTTAGTTTGAACAGGGTGTATCTGTTCATAGCTTCTTGTGATTGCTCTTTATCTTACTTATGCCTCCTTGTGACTGTTGTTAGTCATCAAACCACTGTGATCAAGCTTTTGTGTGTGGTCTTGAAACTGCTATAAAGACCCTGGGTAGGAAATAAACTTTGCCATTAGCCATCAGCTTTTGGTCATTCATTGTGTCTGCAGTTGTCTTCCCAAGCCCCCTCCTCTAGAAGGAGACCCCCAAAAAAGTATCACCTTTTTAAGTCTTATTTTTTCACCACTGCCCTTTTCCCTCACCCTAAATACTAAATAAATACAAAACAAAGGATGGTATTATTATTTTAGACAAAGAAAAACTCATAAATTTACCTAACACTGCAGTTTTCAGGTAGAAAACATCGAGCAACATTTCTAGATAACTGGACATTTAATGGGGGTAATCTTTCTGGTACAGATAGAATTTTTAAAAATAACAATTAACAATTTAATTAAAAATGCAACCCAATAACACACCTTAAAAATCAAGTGATACATAAACATTTGCTCTAAAATTTATGCAGTCTCAGGATGGCAAGATACAAGTTGAAATCTTCATGTAACACAGTGAGATAATTTATTAAATGTTTCACACACCAGTACTAAGCAACAGTCATTCAGCTTTGTGCTCTAAAGTCCGTAAGCCCACTGCACAAGGACAAAGTAGGCTCAGGTCTCAAAGTAGACCTCTAAGCACTTGGTTCTGGAGGCCAAGCACCAGGATTCAGGTAGGCTGAGTAGGGTTAGCTCTATGTGTCTCTCCTCTGAACCAGAGTAGATTCCAGGCTAAAAGACAAGTAGCTATCCAGGATAAACCCAACTGCAAAGGAACATACTTAAATATCACAGATGCCTATTAGCAGCCCAGTAGCCAAATAGGAATTAAAGGCCAATCCAAAATTTTGAGGCAAAATAGTATATTCTACCCACCATGAGTTCATTTATTGCGAAGATGTGGATTTATAATTCTGTCAGAGGGATGTGAAGAACTGAGACAATTACTCAGTTTATTCCACTTCTTTACCATAATAAAGATGCAATTTCAACTTGCCAATGGTAGACTTTATATGCTCCACAGCTCTTTATTTAATGAGTATATCAGTTGTTATACAATTGAAATTGTACAGAAAGTATTACATGAATGCATTATTTGTGCAACTATTTACAAAAGTTGCATTTTTATTAAGAACTATTAACATACTTGCACATTTTTCTCCAATAAATTAACTTCTTGAAATTTATCTTGAAATATTAAAAGAAAGAACTTTATGCAAGAACACGATTATTGCCATATATATAAGAATGGTGAGACTTGCCCACACCTGTAATCCCAGCACTGGGAAGGTTGAGGCAGGAGAATCGCCAGGAGTTCAAGGCCAGCCTGAACAACACAGTGAAACTCTGTCTCAAACAAACAAACAAAACAAAACAAAAATGAAAAAAGAATGGTGATAGGCATAAAACAATATAAAGTCTCAAAAAAGAGAACTGTATATCTGATAATTATGCCAGTGCCTATAAATGCTGTGTGAATGTACAAATAAATCTCAGTATGTAATTTTGAATCTGCAGAAATATAGATTATAAATTTATATATATATCATGTAACAAGTATTGTAAAATTATGTGTTTTAGCTCTGCTACAGAAGGGGCAAAAAATACAAAATACTTTTACAATGATGGATTTAATAGTTGATAATTTAATTGACTAATAGATGTAAACATATGTATTTATGTCTTAACTGTCTCCTTCACTGAAGTTCTGGGAGGTAAAAATATGACCTACTCATTTACTTTTTTACAGTAATTAGCACAATGCCAAATAGAGTCCATAATGTCTTGTTGATAAAGCATTACACTTAGATCACACCAGGACATATGTATGTCTTAAATAAAATCAGGAAAGAAAACAAAGACAGGATGATAAAGACTACCAGGAGTCTTGGCATCTTCTTAATATCAGGTAACTTATTAAAAGGGCTTAGATAAATCATCTTAGTATATTTGAGTTAGAATGTACACAATCTTCAGCACATGAATAATTTGAAAGAACACTAAGAATATATTAGGGTAATTTAGATATCAAAGGTGGGAAGGAGGCTAGTAAATGCAATACCTATGAGTGTCACCAATGTTTTCACAATTAATCATTTTGAAATTAAATAATAAATTAAAAACAAACAAAATTAGAGATAAGAAAATATTTCATTGGTCCTAAAATTAAGGCACACATAAAATTGTTAGTTTGTAATCTCTAGAAATCCTCAGAGGACTTTCTTTGCCAGTCTGTTTATCAGCTCATCAGTAAAGTTGGACTAATTGCACAATCCTTTAAATTTCTCTTTTGTGGAATAAATATTTCAGGTGGTTCTATAAAATAGAGGCATTTAACCTAAATTATCACAGACATTAAATACCTTTTGAGAGCAAAAGAGTTTGTTAATTGCATCTTTCATATCCTTATTTCTCAGGCTATAAATAATAGGATTGAAAAATGGGGCAAACACAGAGAATGTCAGAGCAATGGTGGTGTCCCAGAATGGTGGATAAGTAATGGAGAATCGAAGATACATGAGGGCCACACTACCAAAAAACAACAGAAAGACGGCAATGTGAGCGGCACAAGTGGAGAAAGCCTTTCTACGGCCCTCCACTGAAGAGATGCCCAGAATCACAATGATAATTCTAATGTAAGAAACAGAAATGATTAGACTTGTTATTAGAATGGCAAGCGCATGAATTACGTCCTGCACCAGGATCACAGAAGCGTCTGTACAGGCTAAATTCAGTAGAGGGATAAAATCACAGAAGATCTGATGGATTTGGTTGGAACCACAGAAAGGTAGTGTAGAAATCCAAACAATCTCAGGTAGAAGGATGAGGAAGCCAAAGATACAGGAGCCTACACAGAGCTGGGCACACAGTCGGGGGGTCATTATGGTTGGGTAACGGAGTGGGTTGCAGATGGCAACATATCTATCAATAGCCATGACAGTCAGTAAGGTCCCTTCAGTGTTCCCAAGGGAATGGAAGAAATACATCTGCAAGAGGCAGCCAATGAAAGAAATGGCCTTTCGTTCACTGACCAGATTGGAGAGCATCTTAGGAATGGTGGCTGTGGTATACCACATCTCAAGAAATGAGAAGACACTGATTAAATGATACATGGGTGTGTGAAGATGGGTGTTCAGCCTTACAGCAAAGACAATCATCAGGTTTCCAATCACTATGAAGATGTAGATGAAAAGTAAAGGGAAAAAGTAGAAGAGGCCACCGTCTCGGAGCTGAGGGAACCCAGTGAAGATAAATTCAGTCACTGCCGATATGTTTCTATTTTCCATATCTCCAGCAGAGTACCTGTGAATGAGTAAGAGGGAGTGTGCATCTCACAGAGAAAGAAATCCAAGCAGTGTACATGTAAATATCATTTTAGTTAGAGGATATTTTTGTGCTTTGGCATTTCCAAGATTCAAAATAGGCCATAACTGGCCTATATTGCTAATCTTGCTTTTATTTAGGAGACAGAATAGCATGTAGGGTGCTGGTATGGCTTCATATCAAATATACTGAGGCTGAATTCTCACTCTGTCCATTGTTAATTAGGTGACACACGTTACATAATCTCACCGGGCTTCAACCTCACAAAATATATTAGTACTGAGTTGTGATAATTAAACAAATTACTATGTACAATGACCTATTATTAATGCCTAGTAGCTTAGCTATTTTCTTCAGAGTCCAGCCTCCTGGAAGAATATTAGCTTTATCTTTAAATTTTGTATGGTCCACTACCATTTGCTGTATATAGCTTCTCTTATAGAAAGCTTTCTGTCTTTTATATCAATGACATGATAATTTTAAAACAACAAAAGTGCTAGTCTCTTGCTATGATGGCACTTCACTATAAAAAATTCCGATTAATAACCCTTGAAGGATTTTTTTCCTTGACATGAAACTACTGTTTCTGAATTTTTTCTCTTCCTACAAGGAATCTTCCTCTCATACGTTTCATTATTTTATATCTTTGTATCATGGTGTAATCTGTTAGGACTTGTCTCCTTTGCCCTTTATGCAGATGGGTCTGTATTCCAAGCTCTCACGTCCTTTAAAACTGTTTCCTTCCACACTCTCTGCCATGAACATATACTCTCCCATAGTTTTCTAGTTTTTTTTTTTCAAATCTCTAGCTCCAGCATAGGTAGTTTAGATCCACATATATACCCACTATCCACACATATACCTGTTCTGCCACTCTTTCAAGCTATACTTGTGAAAGTTTTCAGAGATCACCATAGTGCATTCTACATCACTGCCTTTGTGACTCTTGGCCCTCTTCCTGGAACGCCTGCTAACTCCCTCTTCTTTATCTGAATATCTCCCTGACTTTCTGCAAGTCTCAGCTCAGCCACTGTTTCCCTCCAAACACCTATGCCTGATGCTTCTGCTCTGTGTCCTTACCCACATTCACATACACATGCACACATTTGGTCCATCCTTATCTATGTGTTCTCCAGAGGGCCTCTCCCATAACCCTTACTATATTTCACTGTAACTCATTATTTGTTTAACTTCACTAGATTGTGAGGTTACATTGCCACAGGATTAGTCTTAATCTTTCACAAACCTTGATAAGTTTTAGGGATTTCAAACTAGCTTATTTTAAATGAATGGATTTGAATCAACAGAAACCAAGTCATTGTAAATAGGGAGAGGTGGAGGGGTTGAAGGGAGGTCAGGAGAATGGGGAAAAAGTAAGAACCAAGATATATCATGTAAAAGTACAAATTCCCAATGATGAATGTCATCATATTGTAGATCTAAAATACACCAATAAACATAATGAATTTAAAAAAACCCTAATACAAGAAAGACATAGGAAAGAAAATTACAAACATTCACATCTGCTGAGTTTGGTAAAACATGAATAACTGGTTATTATTTACAATGAAATTTTATGCAGTCAAGAGCTCCAAAGGTGGAACTTTCTCCTAAACCCTAGTCCAATATCAAAATTTAAAGTTCCCCAAGTCTTCACTAATTGAATCTTTAGCATTCATTAATGAGTGTAGAAAATAAACACTTTCTCACCAAAACCTCAAAGACCCTAAATAACCTCTGCCAAACACAATAAGGGTTTCCTGTTCCCCGAGTAGCTATATTTTGTTTTCTCAACATCTCAGAAGGAGTTTTTATAGCCATAGTAGGGAGAATTCTGAAAGGAAAGGGAGCTCCAGTGAGGTTCATCCCCTGAAAACAGATAGAAAGCAGTGTCTTCCCTCTTGGGGACAACTCAAAGAACATTGTGTTCTACATTTCTCTTCAGTAAATCCTCAGGTCGGAGAATATTATAATTGCTCCAAGGAGTATTTAGAGTTTCTGTGCAACATTGTTACTCTGTGTCTTATCACTACTTTTATTGAACCAGTCTCTCTCCGTCTGCATATAGAGTAGAGAGAGAGCTATGCAAAAAAAACACAAACACAAACACAAACAAAACAAAACACTTCGAAGTGTTTATGAAGCTTATGAAAAAGAAGCGGGAAATTATGGAAGGTTTTTCTGACAATATGAATGTAGTGAATAAATTAATAAATGCAACATAAGGGATTTCCATTAAAATTTTGCCAGATGAAAAATCATGCCAATTTTTTAAAATGGAAAATATCAAATTTTGTTTCCCAACAATATCCACAGGGCTCTGTCCAAATTTTTCTACTGATCCTGCTGAACTCTTGGTATTTTCCACTCCTCATCACAAACGATAGCAACAATTGATCCTTGTTTTATTTCTTGTTTATGAGTCCTTTTTGAAATATCTATAATTTTCTTCTCACTTCTCTGCCATGAGGAAATAGCCCCAGCAGCTTTATGAACACATTTATTTGCCCTCACAGTTTAATTATTTTCTTTGTGTGAAGATCAATAGTCATTAAACATGGCTTTTCTAATGTAGTAAACATTTTGCCCTTCAGAAGTAAACTCAGTGAGGTTTTTATATGTAGGGTAGGATGAGTAATTATGAAAGACAATTTAGAAGTCGGGTAACAAAGTAACAGGGTGTGTCCTTGAAAATGTGTTTTTTTAAAAGTATTGAGTGAAATCTAGATGTTCAAATTTATCACACAGCTACAATTACCCTGTTTAATATAAGAATGCAAATGGATTAACAAGCAAGAAGATCAGATAAAAAAGTTCTGAGAGGGCCTGGGATTTAGCTCAGTGGTGCTGCAGCCTGCCTCACAAGTGCAATGTCCTGAGTTCAATCCCTGGTACCCAAAAAAGAAAACAAATGTCCTGAGAGAAGAAGGGGGAAAAATAGAAGACATACAAGAAAGCTGAAGTATGTATACAT